GACGGATGATGGATGGATGATGGGTGGATGATGGATGGATGATGGATGATGGATGGATGATGGATGGATGATGGATGGATGGATGGATGGATGGATGATGGATGGATGGATGGATGGATGATGGATGGATGATGGATGATGGATGGATGATGGATGGATGATGGATGATGGATGGATGGATGGATGATGGATGGATGGATAATGGATGGATGATGGATGGATGATGGATGATGGATGGATGGATGGATGATGGATGATGGATGGATGATGGATGGATGGATGGATGGATGGATGGATGGATGATGGATGGATGGATGGATGGATGATGGGATGATGGATGGATGATGGATGGATGATGGATGATGGATGGATGGATGGATGATGGATGGATGGATGATGGATGGATGATGGATGGATGGATGGATGGATGATGGATGGATGATGGATGGATGGATGGATGGATGATGAGCGATGGATGGATGGATGATGGATGGATGATGTATGGGATGATGGATGGATGGATGATGTATGGATGGATGATGGATGGATGGATGATGGATGGATGATGTATGGATGGATGATGGATGATGGATGGATGGATGATGGATGGATGATGTATGGATGGATGATGGATGATGGATGGATGGATGATGGATGGATGATGGATGGATGATGGATGGATGGATGGATGGATGATGTATGGATGGATGATGGATGATGGATGGATGATGGATGGATGGATGATGGATGGAAGGATGATGGATGGATGATGGATGGATGATGGATGGATGATGGATGGATGATGGATGGATGATGGATGGATGATGGATGATGGATGGATGGATGATGGATGGATGATGTATGGATGATGGATGGATGATGTATGGATGGATGATGGATGGAAGGATGATGGATGGATGATGGATGGATGATGGATGGATGATGGATGGATGATGGATGGATGATGGATGGATGGATGGATGATGGATGGATGGATGATGGATGGATGATGTATGGATGATGGATGGATGGATGATGGATGGATGATGTATGGATGGATGATGGATGATGGATGGATGGATGATGGATGGATGATGTATGGATGGATGATGGATGATGGATGGATGGATGATGGATGGATGATGGATGGATGATGGATGGATGGATGGATGATGTATGGATGGATGATGGATGATGGATGGATGGATGATGGATGGATGGATGATGGATGATGGATGGATGATGGATGGATGATGGATGGATGATGGATGGATGATGGATGGATGATGTATGGATGGATGATGGATGATGGATGGATGGATGATGGATGGATGATGGATGGATGATGGATGGATGGATGATGGATGGATGATGGATGGATGGATGGATGATGGATGGATGATGGATGGATGGATGGATGGATGATGGATGGATGATGGATGGATGATGGATGGATGATGGATGGATGGATGATGGATGGATGATGGATGGATGACGGATGGATAGATGGATGATGGATGGATGGATGGATGATGGATGGATGGATGGATGGATGATGGATGGATGATGGATGGATGGATGATGGATGGATGATGGATGGATGGATGATGGATGGATGGATGGATGATGGATGGATGATGGATGGATGGATGATGGATGGATGAGGGATGGATGATGGATGGATGATGGATGGATGATGGATGATGGATGGATCGATGGATGATGGATGGATGACGGATGATGGATGGATGATGGGTGGATGATGGATGGATGATGGATGATGGATGGATGATGGATGATGGATGGATCGATGGATGATGGATGGATGATGGATGATGGATGGATGGATGGATGATGGATGGACGGACGTTACTTTCTAGGTTTCGTTCTGGTTTCTTCAGAATGATTGTGAAACATCAGAGATTGTAACATTTGATCCCTGATCAAAAATCAAAGTGATCGGTGATCGTCTGGCTGAACGGCTTCCTGCTGCGGCCCGACCGACCGGAGCAGAACCAGGTTCTGGTTGCGTAATCCGGGAGAAGATGACTCATGTTTCCAGAAATAGAGGAGCCTAGAGAGGCGTTCAGGGACCGTCCGTACAGAGAGGCGTTCAGGGACCTTCTGAATTCAGAACCAGAATCAAATGGGCCCAGGGTGAAGTGGGAGGAGAACCGGGCCGACCCAACAGAACCGAATCCAGACTGAGATTAAACATTTAAATGAAACCCAAACAGCTGGAGTGAAACCAGCAATCAGGTGTCTGGTTGCCAGAGACAAAGTGTTTACTGAAGTTTCAGCCGACGAAACGATTCAGGAAGAGAAAGTAAAAAACTGATTCTGTTTTACAGTGTAGTGTCTGATCACACTGTAAATAAAACTAAGTTATGAATATCACAGGAGTTTGTTTAAAGTGAAAAATGTTTTGTTATTGGTGAAATTATCAGCCAGTGAAACTTTTCCATCAATAAAATGTTGACCTAAAATAACATTCAGTTATGAAACGTTGATTCATTTATTTCATTTAAATTTAAAAAATAGAAAAAAATACTTGGTGATGTTTTGTGTTTTTGCAGCCGGTTCAGCTAAAGGTCAGAGGTCAGAGCAGGAAACTCAGAGGAATGATGTCCATCTCTTTTGCAGGCCTCAGCCGACAGGTTAAAGGTCAGGACAGGATTAAAGGCCCAAACTGGGTCACCAGCAGAACCATGGGCCCAAACAAGCAGCTGGAAGGGTCTAGTCAAAGCCCGGCCTGTTGTTTCAGCTTCTCCTCACAGAGATGAATAAATTAATGAGACTTTCCTTCATGGGATCAGATAAATGTCCACACCGCTGCTAAAGTAACCAGGTCAGGGTTCTGACCAGGAGAGTCCGGGCCAGAACCAGAACATCAGAGGTTTCCTCTGCAGGAGCCGGCGCCGCGTTTCCCCTCAGAGGCTTTGATGCTGCAGCCGCCTCCGCTTCCTCTGTTTGGTCTGAGCCGGAACCGGCCAGAACCGGCCAGAACCGGCCCGGTTCTACAGAACCACACAGAATCAGCCCCGGCCCAGGTTTTGGGTTCTGATGGACCTCCTGCTTCATGTCTGGATGTTTCCCATTAAACTGCAGATTTTAATGGAAACTGCTCAGCCCAGCGGTCGGCGCCGAGGCGTCAGCCATGTTTTTATGCTAAACATGTTAATTAGACAGAAAATATAAAAATATTACTGGGTTATTATGTCACAGGAAAACGTCTCCAGTGAAACTATTTGTACCTACAGCTGGTCTTAAAAACAACAAATCGAAAAATATAATTTCAATGAAAATCAATTATTTGCTTTTCTGTTTATCCAAATTAATTCAGCGGCTCCGTTCAGCGGCTCCGTTCAGCGGCTCCGTTCAGCGGCTCCGTTTGGCCCCCAGGGCTTCAGGGGCCATAATGCTCATATTTTAACACAGAAACATAAATGTAACATTTATTTACTGAGATGATCAATGCTGCTAAATTTGATTTAAGGTGTTCAGCAAAAATTTTTATATTTTAAATGGTTTAACATTTAAATGTAAGATTTTAAGGAGCTTGCAAGTTTATTTTGAAAAAGAACAAAAAACAATATTCATAGTTAGATTGTTTTGTTACCATAGTAACAACTGGATGCTGCGAGTTTGAGCCGTTTGTTCACAAATACAAATTAATAAACTGTAACTGATTGTCTTTATGTTGGCCAGTTAATCTACTTTAACCTCCTCACCAGCTGAACCTGCATGTACAGGGGGAAGTTTCAGTCAGAAATAATTATTTATCTAGTTAGAAGAAAAAAAGTGTTGACATGTTAGAGTCACATTTTATTAGTTAACTAAATATTTAGTTTAACTGTTTAGCTTTCAGATATTTAGTTTGAAGTCGTGACATTTATAAACTCCATGTTTTGTTTTTGGCTAAATAAGCTAAATCATGTCTGATGGGTCCAACAGAACCCAGAACCCTGGTCCAATCTGACGGGTCCAACAGAACCCAGAACCCTGGTCCAATCTGACCGGTTCCAGTTGGATTTCTTTCTACTTCCTGAAATTAAATCTCATCAAACATCAGTCTGAGAGGTTCTGACGACAAACTTTGACTCGGTTTTGCTCCAGATCTGGATCCGTCAGTATCAGAACCGGGTCCAGTTATCACCAGCAGCGGTTCTGTTAAGATCCAGAAACCTTTTAGAACCTGGACCCGGTTCTGACCCAGAACCTCACCGTGACACCCAACAGAAACCAGCCCCAGTGTTTCTATGGCAACCCCACATCATTTTACCCAGAACCGTCCAGAACCGCCCAGCTGCAGAAAGCATCGGAAGTCCAGTTTGAGTTTTAATATTTCTGAACATCAGGAAACAGAAACTGTCCTAATAACATCTGAATTACGAAAAATAATCTGAATAAAAAGCAAAAATCTGACATAAAAAGCAAAAATCTGACATTTTCAGGAGAATCAAAGTAGAAACAACTGAGAGTGATGAACAGAAGAGAAGCGTTAATGACGTCATGTTTCTCCAGGAAGCGGATCGATCAGCGGAACCACTTTACCAGAAGCTCTGGGCTCCAGCAGCGGAGCGCAGAGCCGCGGCTCCCCGCAGAGCCGCGGCTCCCCGCCGGAGCTCCTGCCGCAGCCGCAGGCAGCGGGGATGCAGGAAGGAGGAGGAGGAGGAGGATGAAGAGCTGTTACATAAATCCATCCTCCCGCGTTAATCCTCCGGCTCACTTCGAGCAGCTCCTTACATAATTTGACATCATCAGAACACCGGAGCGCCACAGCCTGGCGGAGAGCCGCCAGCAGCGGGAGGAGGACGCCGCTCTGCCCGCCGCTGAGCTCCGCGGCGACCTGAGCCGGGGAGGGACGGAGGCTTCCCCCGCTGCTGCTGCGGCTGAAAGTGCAGATAAACACACACACACACACACACACACACACACTAAAGTCCACACGGCGGTGAGGATCATTCCCGCAGAATCCCGCAGGGCGGAAGGAGCCTCACCTGTTCGGTTCCCGCTGGGCAGAACCATCCAGCGGCTCCGGTTCCGACCGATGACTCCGCTGCTGCTGTTCACTCCCACATATACCGCACGACCAGGCGCGCGCACGACGGCAACACGCCCCCTGCCCCCCCTCTTCCGGCCCGGCCCACTGGGGGGTGTGTGTGTGGGGGGGGATGCGACATAAATAATAATAAAATAATGATTATTGATCCGATTCCGAACCGACTGGTTGGATTTCAGGAGCCTCCGGTTTTCAGAACCATCAGAGTCTGAGCTGCTGCTGACCCGTGAGGGACCAGAACCAGAACCAGAATCTGGTTCTGGTGACCAGTACCGCTTCCTTTACAACTTTGTTGTTTAACTTTTTAACTTCAAATTTATATTTAAAACACGTTGGACATAAAACTCAGAAATGTTTGTTTTTTTTCTCTTATTTCTTAAAATTATTATTTTTAATCATCTATAATATAAAAAATATATAAAAATCTATAATTTATTAAATGTATATATTTTATTGTCCTAATGATCCTGAACCATCGTCTGAATTAAACTAACATTTTACAAACTAATGACCAAAATAATAAACTCCGGTAGTTTTCTAGTTCTGTATTTCTTGTTTGGGCCAGCAGAACCGGGTCGGTGGTTCGGTCAGGGCTTCCAGGTGACCACCTTAATGGCGGTCTGCGCCGCGCGCCGCACGTCCTCGTCCTGCTCTTTGCTCCTCCGCTCCAGCAGGGGGAGCTCGGAGCTCAGGATGACGCGGCCCTCCGGGGCCTCGGACAGCGCCGTGAGGGCCCTCAGGCAGTAGATGACCAGAGTCTTCCTCCTCTTCTTCCGCTCATCATCCTCCTCCTCAGACAGCAGCTGGAGCAGCACGGGGATGAAGTTGAGCTCCAGACAGAGGTATTTACCTGGAAGGGGGCGGAGCTTCAGTCAGACTGAAGCTGAGAGAAACTTCTGGATCCTTTAAAAACTCACTGAATGAAAAACTAAAATTATTTTCTATCTGCTGAAGCTATTAATAAACATCAGATATTATCAATGGAACATTTAAATATTATAATTGGAAATGTTTCTTCTGCTTGAAGTTTATTATTTTAAAATTATTTATTCTATATACATTTTTTTCATTTTAGAATTTAAGGAACCAAAATTTACCAAAAATGTTTGATGACGTTATTTTAAAACATTAAATCACATATTTACAGGAAGTGGACCTGAACCCAACAGGAAGTGAACCTGAACTAAACAGGAAGTGAACCTGAACTCAAACAGGAAGTGAACCTGAACTCAAACAGGAAGTAGACCTGAACTAAAGAGGAAGTGGACCTGAACCCAACAGGAAGTGAACCTGAACTAAACAGGAAGTGGACCTGAACCCAACAGGAAGTAGACCTGAACTAAATAGGAAGTGGACCTGAACCCAACAGGAAGTGGACCTGAACTAAACAGGAAGTTTACCTGAACCCAACAGGAAGTGAAGCTGAACTAAACAAGAAGTGGACCTGAACTCAAACAGGAAGTAGACCTGAACTCAAACAGGAAGTGAACCTGAACCCAACAGGAAGTAGACCTGAACTAAACAGGAAGTGGACCTGAACTCAAACAGGAAGTGAACCTGGGCGGATGATGACGGTGTTCATAATGACTCCGGCGGCGTTGATCTGAACGTCGAGGTTTCTGTCATGCAGCAGAGGCAGAAGAGTGGGGAGGACTCCGTGATCGCAGACCTGCTGCTTCCCTTCTCCAGGGACGCTGGGCGAGACCGTCACACACACACGTTATCGAACACACACACTAACACACGTTAACCCCCCGCCTGTTGCACCCGTTCTCCAGCCGGACCTGAGCGCCATCAGGGCGGCCGCCGCCTCCCTGCGGATGCCTGTGGAAGTGTGTGTGAGCGTCCGGCCCAGGACGGGGACGCCGTCAGTGGCCAGAGCCGGCAGAGGGTCCAGCCTGGAGCAGGAGGCCAAGGTGGAGAGGAGCAGCTCCTGCTCCTCCTCTTGCTTCTCCCGCCGCACCTCCTCCAACTGACACAGCCTGAGCATCAGCCTGGGGACCAGAGAGAGCAGAGCCTCAGCGCCTGCAGGGGACAGACAGACAGAGGGACAGATGTTCTCAGTGAGGGTTAGGGTTAGCAGCAGCAGGTGCTGCAGCGTCGGTGCTGCAGCGTCGGTTTACCTGCAGGCAGCTGAGCCAGGCCGTAAAGCACCCGGTGGGCGTTCGTCCTGCAGGAGACCGACGGGTCGTCCATCAGGTCGGAGAGCGGAGGGAGGAGAGACGAGTGCAGCAGAGCCGACCTGAGGAACAAACGGCTCCATCATACGGAGGATGGAGGCGCCCCCTGCTGGCCAACGCAGTTACAGCAACAACAAACATTTCTGCTTCACTTCAAACTGCTCATCCTGCAAAGCTGTCACATTTATTTATTCATTTGTTTGTTTGTTTGTTTGTGTTTCATGTTTCTTGAGTTCGAATTTTGTTCCACAAACATTTGAATTCTCTCATCATCAATGAGAAATCACATTTTTATTGTAAAACTTATGAAATTAAAGTTGTTTTGAGAGAAACTAAAACATTTGTGCAGAAATTAAAATTATTTTCTGTATTTGCTTTTATTTAAGATTCAAGTTATTTTTAAAAATGTAAAAAAAATAAAATCTTGCTGTTTTTGTTTGTTTTAATATTTTTTCAAACTTTTTGGAGATGTTATTTTTTTCAATGATTTAAAAAATAATTTGTAAGATAATTGAAAATAAATAAAATCTGAAAAAAGAAAGTTCCTCTCTAAATGTTTTTGTTCAAAGTTTCATTTTTTAAATGTAAACTTTTGTTCTCTTCTTGTAAAAATGTTGAAAGTTTTCATAACCAGTGAATTATTCACTGAACGAAGAACAAACATGAATATTTACAGATAAATAAAAAACATTTTTACAGTTTCATGTTGATCATTTTATCCCAGAAACAGAAAACCTCTCAAACTTTCTTCTTCTGTTACTGAATAAGTTATTAGGGAAGTTTTATGTTTGCATGCTTTCTTGTACTTTTGTTCCATTTTCCTCTTGATTTCCCGCGGCTGGTCCTGCGGGACCTTTGACCTCTGACCCCTACCTGCCGATGCTGTGGTTCGTGACCAGGTGCAGCAGCTCGCAGGTTTTGCTCTTGACTGCAGCATCCTCGTCCTGCAGCAGAACCTGCAGCTGCTTCAGGAAACCTGCGGACAAACAGTCCAGACCGTGAACGCACCACCCTGCTGCAGCCCCGGTTCCGGTTCGGCCCGCTCACCTCCGTTCACGGTCTGGTACAGCCGCTCCGGCTCGTGGACCAGGTCGCAGAGTGACGTCAGAGCGCGCACCTTGTGGGCGGGGTCTTGGACCTGCAGCTGCTCGAACAGCTGCGGGACGGCGCGGCGGCCGAACGCCACCGGGGCCCGGTTCGGGTCCGTCACTGCTGTGGTCATCGGAACCGCGTTTCCTTGCTTCAAGTCCTC